AATCAGTAGATCAGAGATGGGGGAGAATTTCTGGAATGTTCTTGAAATTTAGTTGCTATAATTTGGTTCAGATTTTGTTCTTAATTTAGAGTTGATATGTTGTGTTTAGTGAGGTGCCATCTTGTCGATTGTTACTCACTGTTTTTGATTAATGAATTTTCACTTGTTCTTCAAAAAAAAAAAAAAAAAAGAATCCTCCCAAAGTAAAAAATTTTGACCAAAGCATGCATCATATTGTACAAAGTTTAGAAATCAAGGAAGAATGCTGCAGATAGCTTGTTAAGATTGGAGAAGGTGAGGAGATGCCCCAAGGAGCGGCGAGGAAAATTGAAAAAATCATGAGAGATTTTCTATTGGAACCAGGAGAGACTAAGAAAGATCACTTGTTAAGATGGGAGAAGGCGGTAAAGCTGAAAGTAGGAGGTTTGGGAGTTGGAAATGTTAGAATGAAAAATATGGCTTTGTTAAGCAGATGAATTTGGAGGTTCTCCAAGGAAAATGAAAAATTGTGGCACAAAGTTATAGAAAGTATCCACGGGCTGTCAAACAATGGATGGGATGCTGGTTGTTTGCATAGAGCCACTTTGGCTGCTCCTTGACATGATACCCTTCCAGCCTTCCTCAACCATGTCAGGTGTGATTTGGCCTCGGGTCAGAAAATTAGATTTTGGGGAGATGTTTGGGTTGGGGAGCACCCTCTATCTGAGATCTTTCCATCCCTTTTTACCCCCTCCAGCCTTAAAGGTAGACTTGTGTTCAAGTTCTTTTCCTAGCACTCATCGCCCTCTAGGCTTAATAATTGAAACCCTGGGTTTACTAGGAATCGTAGAGTCTGAAATATCTAGTGTGTCAGATTTGTTAAGCTTGTTAAATTCAGTGGTTTTGGAGGAAGATCATACATATACTAGGGTTTGGGCTCCTAACTTTGTAGGGCTTTTCTCATGTAAGTCTTTCTTCAATACCCTTGTTGCCTCTTCCCTGTCTCCTATTTTTACCAATAAACTTTGATTATATTAATTGAGTGAGAAAAGATAATGCAGTTTTGATTTGATGGTTATGATATCATCCCCACAATCAACACTGTGTCTGTGTTACAAAGATGCCCAAAACAATTACTCCCTTTCTACCCCTTGTTTGGCAAGGGAGTCAACTAAGCCATTTGCACTCCTAACCCATTTGAATACAACACCTGTCTCTCTTGAATCCTTCTCTATAAACATTCTTGAAGGTCCAAGAAGTATTTCTGTTAGATCTTGCCTAAGAAATGATTACTTCTGACTTCTGAGTCCCCTTCCACCTCCAATTGATTGAAGCCCAATTGCTTAGCTAGTCTGAGACCTTGTAGTAACGCCAACAATTCAGCTTTTATGGAGTTAGCCACACCAACTGGTCCAAAGTAAAGAGCCAACAATTTGCCTTCTGAATTTCTTATTGCCCCACCAATACCTGCCATGCCAGGGTTACCCAAAGAGCTGCCATCAAAATTCAGCTTTACTTTACTGCCTTGTGGAGGTTTCCATTCTATTTTTATTCTATCGTTGACTCTAGAGGAAAATGCTATCTCCTTCCAAGTCCTTAGAATATCAATCACTGTAAGATTCTGAAAGCAATCCAAAGTTTTAATCCAGAATGCTACCTTCACTTTTATTGTCTCTATTACCTCCTCCACAAGTCTACTTTTGTCATTAAAAAATTCTGTTATTCCTCTCCTCCCAAACCACCCAAATAGTTGCACCCTTAGTAACTTTCTATGTCAGTCTTCCTCTTTTCTTTGGTTGCCTTAGGAAATTGAGCTTGAAAATGTCTGCCACCTCTTGGGGAGGGATCCAGCTACAACCGAAAAGATCATAGAAAAACTCCTAGATATGTTGAACAAAGGGGCAGGGGATTAATAAGTGGGGTAGGATTTCTCCACTTTTCCTACACAAAAAGCACATATGAGGAGAGAGGCAACAATGAGGCCTTATTTTTTGCAGCACACCACATTTGGGGTAGGGTTTCCCCGTCTCCTTTCTCTGTGAAGGAAATTTGATATCCCTCCATTCCACCAGAAGTTAGTGCCTTCCATTGGGAAACATTTCATGGTTGTATAAGCACTTGTGATATGATCCAAAGGAAAAGACCAAACTGGTGCTTGGCCCCCAGCTGGTGTTTTTATGTAAGTTGAATGGTGAGACTGCTCTTCATCTCTTAATCTCTTGTCCTTTTGTTGGCTGTATTTGGCAATGGTTTTCTTCTCTTTTTGGGTGGATGTGGTCCCCTCCTGTTAGCTTGGAAGGATTTTTTAGCCTGTCTGCTTTTAGTTGCACAAAGAGGAGGGGTAGAACCCTTGTGGAGATGCATGAGAGCAGCGGTGGTATGGTTGGTATGGGATGAAAGAAATCAAAGGATCTTTGAAGGCAAAAAAAGAAGCAAGGAAGCTCTGATAGAGGTAATTGCCCTAAGAGTGGCACACTGGTCTAGAACCTTGAACCTCTTCTCTGGATTCAAGGTTGACAAATTTTTTCAGGTCTTGGGGTGCAATAGCTGATTCTTCCTCTAGAAGGCAAAAAGCCTTTGCAGTTTGATCATCACCAAGTTGTGGTTGGAAGAAGCTGAATTTTGATGGTAGTTGTGTGGGTAATCTGGGACAATTAGGCATCAGTGGTGTAGTAAGGGATGAGAAAGGAAATATACTCTCATTGTATTCAGATTCAATTGGGCAAGGTGATGTACTCTCAGATCAGAATTCTTGGTAGCAGTTTTTTGGGGTGGAGAAAGCAAAAGAATTGGGTATTGAAAGATTGATTATAGAAGGTCACTCAAGAACAGTTGTGAGCTGGCTAAAAGAGGAAATGGAATAACTTGGAATATAAGGAATGACTTCAGACAGTTCAAATGGCTATCAAAAGTAATGATATTTCAAGTCAATTGGGTTAGGAGATCTGCGAACAATTTGGCAGATGGTCTTGCTAAGCAAGGGGTTCTGATACAGTGTATGTATTGGGCTCATTTGTAATATTTTGGGATACTTTTATCCCTTTGGGCCTGTTGTATCCCTTCACAACTTCTTGTTGTACCTCTTTTATCTAAATTTAATGAAATCTTTTCTGTGTTGCTTATAGAAAAAATGCCATGGATAGCTTTCCTAGGGGAAGCCAAAGTTGCCTGATTAGACACACCAGCATCCCAACCATTGTCCAAACAGCCGTGATCCTTTCCACCACCTTGTACCGCAACCTCTCTCTTTCACTAGGCCATCTCCACAACCATTTCCCTAGGAGGGCTACATTCTTCTTCCCTACATTACCTATACCCTATCCACCTTGATCTTTGTTCCTACAAACTATTTCCCATTTGACTAGACCATCCTTCTTTCCTTTTCCCAATTCCCATAAAAAACCTCTCTTGTAACTTCTTTGAGTCATTTTGGGGAATCCTAAAAACAGATAAAATAGTACACTGACAAATTTGCAAGAGTGGACCTTATTAAAGTTATCCTGCCTCCCTAAGAAATATTGTTCCTTTTCCATGCTGTTAATCTTTTTGCAAACCTCTCTACAATCGGATTCCCAAAACTACTTTCCCTAGGGTTTGCTTCTAATGGGGGACCTAGATAGTTCAAAGGCAAAGGAGTGATAGTACACCCTAAAGAGACAACCATGGAATGCAACTCACCATTTGATATATTGATCCTTGCCACACAACTTTTTTCAAGATTTTTTTTTTCAAATTTGACATATGGGAACTGCTTATCACTTATTAATCTTTTGTTCATTTATCTGTTGTATTTGGGATTGGTTTTTCTCTCTTTTTGGTTGTAGGTGGAATACTCCTGTTAGTTTGGATAAGCTGTTTGATTGAAATACTGAGGCTGCACCTTATGCCTCTGTTTAGGTTATGGTGGGCTAAATGGTGAGGGTTATGGTGGACTAAATTGTAATTCATACTTTGTAACTGAGGCTGCACCTTGTGCCTCTGTTTGCGAAGCCTTCAGTGTATAACTCTATTATTTTGTTTCCAATTAATCAATTGCCATTTATCAAAAAACAAAAACCTATAATGGTGAGGGTGGCAAATTGGGCCAAAACGATAGAGACATTTTCAGACTTGAATTGGAGAGCAGTGGCTGGATCCTCGAGAGCAAAGGGCAGTAAGGAGTTGGTCTATTACATATATAGGTTTTATTAATTTAAATTAATGGAAGCAGTTTTGGCAACCTGGGACCTTTAGGAATTGAAGGGTTTCTTAGGGATGTGAAAGGAGAGATATGTGCGATGTTTTCAGGACCAATTGGGGAAGGGAATTCCATGAGGGCAGAGCTTTGGCAGTAGTAGTGGTGCAAAAGGCTAATGGAGTTGGGGGTGGATAAGCTAATAGTTGAAGGAGGTTCAAAAACTGTGATAAGTTGGTTTCTGAAAACACAGGAAGTGGCATTGGCATTGAACAGAACAGAAAAATAGGAGGCAAAGGTTAGAACACTAAATTTCTAATAAATTTATCCTGTTATTCATTAAAAAAGGGATATGGCATTGAACAGAACAGAATGGCGAAACAGGATTCATGTAGCCGACCCCATATATGGGGTCTTGGGGTATGTGGACTGGATATGAACCTAACCTTTGCCTCCCTCTCACGGTGGCCTCTCTCAGATTTGAAACTGTATTCCTGCACTTGTCAGCCTGAGGTTTTACCGTTATATCAAGCAATAGCCCCTTCTTTTGATTTTTATAAAAAAAAATAGCCCTTCTTTTGGTAATGTACCATTTGCTGTTTGAAAATATCAAGTTTAGATTTACAAGTGTTTCGGTTTCACTATCTAAGTTACAAAGAGAAGCTTAGTTGCTTTAGAACATTTGATCTTATCCATGTGATTCTAAGCTAGCTCTGTCCAAGATATGCAGTTTCTTGTTTTAACTGGTTTTTTGTTCTACCATCCTTGACATGTAGCTTAGGAGGCATGGTTTTCTTGTTCATGTTTCCCAGCAATGCTGATTAATCTGTAATGTTGTCTGTTTCAGCAACAGACATGTGTCCCAGGAGCTCTTTTTGAGGAGAAGCCTCAATCTGCGAATGATGCTTGGAGGAAACTTCACTCTGATCCGTTGCTTCTAATTCGGCAGCAAGAGCAAGAGGCCCTTGCTCGAATTAAGAACAATCCCATCCAAATGGCTATGATTCGCAAATCTGTAAGTCCACTCTTGACATTGTCTCTTCTTTCCCCTCTTTTTCTTTTGAGCAAGGTAATAGTGTAAAATGTGTTAATATGCTAAAAGACATACATGGTGGGATGTGTAAAGAATAATAATATACAAATAGAAGAGATGCACAACCCTCCAAGCAAGCTGTAACCATACAAGAAAAGCCTATTACCCTGCCTTAGGCAAGCCCTCTGCAATTGAGTTTCATGCCAGCAGGCCCATCTAATATGCATGGACAAAAAGGTTACCTGATATGACAGTGGATACTGTATGAACACATCTATGATGTACTTTATAGTATTAAGCCTTCTATCATATATAAATGGTATGTTCTAACAAATCTTACTAAATAAGTCTGTATATTGCTAGAAGTTTAATTAAATCTTGCTAGTTTAATAGAATTTGTTCAGTATCCAAGTAGAAATCACTATTTGCTGATTCAGTCAAGTTTCTTGTGAAAGGAAAGAGGGGGAAGATGAAGATTTCAGCAGTAGAGAAGGAAGGAGAAGAAGAAAAGAGTAGGAGGTCAACCAGGATTGTGAAAAATTAACCCTAGCCGCCTACCTCTCATTATATTTATATTTAACTTAAAGATGAGATATTA